GTTCTAAATGAGACCGAAGAGGAAAGTCACAAACTCCTTCACAGTGATAGGCTTCATAGTCCAATGGAGCAATGATCCAGTCATCCCAGCCCATCTCCTTGAAGTTCACATGGAGAGGTCTTCTAGTGCACCTTGGCTTGGCCTTCTTGCCTTTTGCTTGTCGGGATGTGTGAGGGGCCCTTCTCTTCCTCCTCTGGTTGAACAGGAATTCATAAACAGTTTTGTCATCCTGGCCCGATCTGGCTTTGACTTCGTTGAAGAACAGGTCCCGTTTTTTGGTCCTACCTGACACCAGCAGAAGAGCTTTCTCTTTGGTTTGGCGATCTGCCCTGCCAAAACCCAAGCTTCTTAAATCCACTGCTCTTCCTCTGACCAAGGCCTCCAGCTCGATGCAAAGTTGAGTCAACGGCTGCTCCTTCCGGTACGTTTTGAAGAGTTTCCAAACGTTAAAGACTTCCCATTTGGGTGCATCCAAAAGATCAACAGAGCAAGAATCAAGTACAATTGGCTTCTGCCTGTCTATGGGGCACTTGGATATTCGGAGGTTGTACACAGTTCCTGGAACTCGTGCCCGCCTTGGATCTGCTGACCGTGTTCGCAGGATCCGTAGCTCAGCTCCCAGCAAACCTTCCTTTTCCATGGAACTGATGTTGAAGATATACTTCTGTTTCCGCACGTGCGTGTGGCGTTCATCTGAGAAAAGGAGAAATGAATCAGACACTCAAAATGCACAAGGAATATCATTCACATGAGAAATGCAAAATGTAAACAGTACAGAGGTGATGTTACCGAACAACTAGCTTGGAGATAATAATAGTGAGATCAAATCCCACCTGAACATTTTGAGATTTTGAATCTTTCAGTTTAAATTTACCTTAAAAAAAAACAAACAACTATTGACTTTTGAAAGGGAATTGGATAAAATCTTGTAAAGGAAACAGGTTTGCAGGGCTATGGACAAAGGATAGAGGAGTGGAATTAATTGTTTCAATCTGTCAAAGAGATGGCACTGGTTTAATGGGCCAAACGGTATCCTTGTGCACTGTACAATTCTATGATTCCATCCCAATACAACCAGGTTTGAAGCCAAAGGATTGTATTTTAAATTGTCGTTAGTGCTGAAATACACTACATAAAGAAGAACAATATATACGTATTGAGGGTGTCAGCCTTGGCTCTGTGGAGAGACTGTCACTTCAGAATCACAGAGTTGTTTCAGTGCAGAGAGATGCCATTTGCGCCATCATGTCTGAACCAGCTCTCTGAGCATTTTAACTTGTTGTCAATCTCCTGCTTTTTGCCGTAACCCTGTGCATTATTTCAACTTCAAATATTACCTTGAATGCTTGAATTGAGTCTTCAGGGTTCAGGGTTTACCCTGTGCTCAGAAACTCAATGATTTAATCTACACTAGAAGCCACGATGAGGAGGAGCCGGAGTTAGACTGGGGTGGACAGTGTCAGAAGGTCACACGGCACCAGGTTACAGTCCAACAGGTTTATTTGAAATCACAAGCTTTGGAAGCGCTGCCCCTTCATTGGGTGAAGGAGGCGTTTGGACTATAACCTGGTGTCCTCTGATTTTTGAGCTTAATCTACACTAGGACTTCAATGCTTCAATATCAGGGCCAGCATCTACACAGAGGAAAACTTTAGCAAATACTAAGTCTTTTGGGTGAATGTAAGAGTTTCTAAGTCAATATCTGGTTGTTAAGAAGTTCTCTTTGTGCCCTTGCAGATGATCCAGTCACCATCTCTTTGCTGTTTGCGGGTCATGATTAGTGTACACAAATTGTCTGCCACATGTTTCTCAGCTGCAACAGAAGCAAAAGTTTCAAAAGTGCTTGGGAATGCACTGAGCACGTTTAAACTGCCATACGAATGCGAATCCTCCAATGTGTAAGAAATCAACAATTAGAAATGGGAAAAGTGACATTTATAATGCATTAGAAAGCATTTTTGGGTCTGTTCCTATCTATGTGCACCAACACTGGCACTACGTTATCGATCAAGTCATGAACAAAATATGCAGGAAAGCAAGAAAACCAGCAGTGAGGAAAAACAGAAAAGGGTGAAGAGATGGTGAAAAGCTCAGTAAAATTATACTAACTCAACCCACAAACTCATACATATTGAAAAACACAGTTTCTATATACAAGCATATGAATTAGGAGCAGGCTCATAAGACCATAAGATACAGGAGCAGAATGAGGCTACTCAGCCCATCAAGTCTGCTCCATCCTGTAACCCCGTGACCCATTTCTATAAACAACCCAATAAGAATTTTGATGCGAAAATAATTATTTGGAAAACTGACTTAAAACACGAGAACGTGGGGAATGTGGGAGTACTGCATCACATACCAACACAAGAGTTAAGAGGAGCAGGCCATTTGGCCCCTCAAAGAATACTTCTTACTTAATGTACTCCATTTGCTTTCACACAATCTGGAACTCTCTTGCAAAAAGATGTTCAGATTGGGTATCAACTGAAAACCTCAAATAGGAAAGTGGTGGACTTTGTTACACAAGATGATTAAAGGACATGAGACAAAACCGCCCTGTGGGAAGTCCTCGGATACTACTGAACAACGCAAAGGGCATGAAGACTCTTCATTTCTATGCTTTTTGGCTCTGTGCTCGATGACTGATTGTTCCTGGGTGCGTATCATTGAACCATACAGTCATGCAGACAGAAGGTGGAAATTCAATCCATCATGTCTGTGCAAGCAGTAAGTGACACTTTCAGATTTGCAACAGTCAATCTTAATAACTGTGAATGTGTTGCTGTTCTAGGTTGTAACCATTGTATGGATCCAGGAGTGCCTACACCTTCACTCACTTCATCAGTTAGGACTTCTGCTGAGGCAACACTTAGCCTGGACAGAAAATTCACTCTAATGGTATTGTACAGGCATTGGCTCGAACAGGGTTATTCCCTTACCAGCAATGACTGGAAATAAGGTGGTTGTTGCATGCATAACCTAAGTGTGAAGTTAGGCTAAACTTCTGTAAGCCACAATCGGATAAGACTTAACATGATCAAGTGGCACAGAATGCTCAAGGGGCTGAATGGCCTACTTCTGTTACTAGTTGTTGTTTTTATTTAATTATTCAGTGCTGGGATATAAAGGAACCAGCGGAGAATTAAAACTTATGACCAAGACTAAAATGGTTAACTAAACCCTTACAACGGAGAACACTTCTGCATTGTGCACCATGGTGCCACGATTCCCAGTGGTTTAATACTACAGGAAGCTTTCCTTCCCCTGACAAATTACTCTGAATGAAACTACACAGTTTTCTGTAAAACAAAGTGACACCCCTTTGATACTGACTGCAATCATCCCTTGGTAATGAGACTGCAATTTCACAGACACAACATCAGTGATAATGCTCGCAGTCTGAAATTCATTGGTTTCTTTCTTTGTTTCGTATCATTGCACATACTTTCTCCTCTTTGGGGGATAGAGTGGAAGAGTTGGACAGATCAGCAGGCTGATTATCAACCCAGGAAAACTGCTCCTATGGCCAACAAGTTCTGGACTGAACTTTAGCTCAGAGTTACTGGCTCAGAGGCAGTGGCGCCACCTACTGAACCACAAGACCACTATCCCACTGTCTGTCAGTACAACTGAGGCAATCTATATGCATTACATCATTCTGCAATCATGAATAAATACACGGGAATCAAAACCGATAGCACACTGTGAGGACGTCACCAACCACAGGAACAAACCAAAGGAACAATGTAGAGTGCACTGCATTGTGTGGGGCAATATTGAGCATTGTGTGCAGGCCAGGTCTTCTCTTCTGTTCTTTGACTCTTGGGGATTACAATCCCCAAAAATGTCCCCATTAAGACGTTTGCCACATGTGGTAAGCCACAATTCGTAGTCTTCATGCAATGATCTGTTACCATGGGAATGCCAGGCACTTATCATATTTCTACAATTACTTCGGTTTTCTTCACCAGCAACACAGTGTTCATGCTATACCATGAATTCTAAAACAAGGCCATTGAAACATTCAACTCTTACATGTAGCTCTCCTCTTCAAGTCAACAAAGCAATCTTTTTGTACATTTTACCTCCTTGCCTATTTTAAGATTTGTAAGAATCATTCTAACTTTCTTTTCCAAAGCACCAAAACTGGATTTCTGAACGTGCTTTAGCCCCTTGTTCCAATGATGTACAGCTTTTGCAGTTCCTCAATTGTTTTTTTTATGCTTTAGCTGAGTTCCTCCCTGACCTGTTTGAACTTTGATGCTGTGAGTGCTGGGGTGTCTTGACTGTTCATCTCAGCATCTCAACTCAACAAACACAATCCTTGGAAATCTGATAATAATTTGGTAGGAACTGAGGAGGAGGTCACTCATGGCCCCCGAGCCTTTTCCACTAATCAATTAGGCCCAGGCTAATCTGTATCTTAACCCTATCTATCTACCTTCGCTCTATAACTTTTTATAGTCTTACCCAATAAAAACCAACAATCTCTTTTCTGACATTTACAATTGTCGCCCAGCTTCAACTGTTGTTGTAGTAGAAAGCTTCTAATTCACTGCCCTTTGTGTGAAGAATGTATTGACATTGATAACAATGACTTGGACATAGTGGTGCCCCAATGTGTCTCCTGTCCTTGTCCTTCTAGGGGTACAGGTCATTTACTAAGAGGGTATTTTTCTTAAACTGGAAAAAAAGAGTTATTATACAAGGACAACAGTGTTTGTCATTTGCATCCAGCTTCGAAAAGTCAGTAAGGAATCAAACCCAATCTCTGAAAGGACTTACATTAAACCAGTTTCTAGGCAAGACTCCAAACTAAGCTAAGAGGGTAATAAGTGAGGCATTATGAACTGAGGAGAGGATAAACTTATTCACCCAGAGCGCTGTGACTCCTGGCAATTCTCTACCCCACGGGACTGTGACTATCAGTCATGTGTGTCCATGCAAGTCTCAATCAATTGAATTTTGGGCACTGTGCTAATCAGGGGAAGACCATAAGACACAGGAGCAGAAATTAGGCCATTCGGCCCATTGAGTCTGCTCCGCCATTCAATCATGGCTGATAAGTTTCTCAACCCCATTCTCCCACTTTCTCCCTGTAACCCTTGATTCCCTCGATAATCAAGAACCTATATATCTCAGTCTTAAATGTACTCAATGACCTGGCCTCCACAGCCTTCTGTAGCAGTGAATTGGGGAAATGGGGATAGGATGAGAAAGTCAAGCTGATGTAAAAGGCTATACCATAAATGATGAACCAGGTAACAATCAGTCAAAAGGAATTGCTCCTGCTCTTATTTCTGCCTCGGTATTGTGGGTTCAATACCTCACTCCCTTTCTCTGTGGTTTATGGGCTTAAAATTCCTTTCTGTAATGTTTGTAATGTAGTGGCTCCCACACTCATATGAAAGTTAAAATGAGCACTTTTTTCCACTCAAATGATGCAAACAAGCTAACCAATCACTCAACAAAATATTAACCCCTTTGTAAGCCCTTTCAGAGATTGGGTTAGATTCCTTGCTGACTTTTCGAAGCTGGATGCAAATGACAAACACTGTCTTCCTTTTATAATAAACTATTTTTTTTTCAGTTTAAGAAAAATACCCTCTTAGTAAATGACCTGTACCCCTAGAAGGACAAGGACAGGAGACACATTGGGAGCACCACTATGTCCAGGTCATTGTTATCAA